GACAGGGTACATTGATGAAGTCATCAGAGTGGAAGAGGATATTTTGGCAACAGCATTGAGCAGATGTCTTGTGACATTTGAACTTTTCACACTGAGCCAGCAATGATTGGGCATTTGTGTAGCTGCATTCTTCAAGCAGTGTTGCCATTCCTTTGAAATAGCTAGGGTATGTTGGGTGATCACTGGGATAATGGAGAGTCTGGACTTCACGATTAGAGACTGTGTCTGCCATGTGCTTGACAACAGTCCAAGGTTTCCCATTAGGGCCATAGATGATCTGCCCACTATTGTTGTGGGAAGGGACAGTGACACCCCAAGGCTTGGGGTTTTTAGGCATTTTGAGAGCTGATAGGGAATCTTCAGTGTGCTTTGAATGTGTATGAGCATTGTCAAAAATGAGAACATGTTTTTCCATTGGATACTTCTGATGCAGAATGTTCATTGCTTGAGTTGCTTGTTCTAGAACCTCATCATTTGAGAAGTAGCCATTGCAAGCCTTGCCTGGTTTGATTGTAACATGCACATCTACTCCATCACCTTTGAGCCATCCATGATCAGCTGATACAAAATCGGTGATCATGAGAGATGCTCCATCCCCTTTGGCATATGGCTTTGCAGTCTCGGAACTGTGGACCCAGCAGATTTTTTGATGGTCATGGGCATAGAAGATGGATTCATTGTGGAACCAGGCAACAACATGCTTCCCACTGGCAGGGGGTGACTTGGCAACTTCCTCATTGCTGTCATTGTCCCACTTTCTCATTGACTTTGCATACTCTTCCATGGCAGGCAGAAACACCTTCTGGCAATACTCAACAACATCTCCCTGCTCATGGCCATCTGAATATTGGCCTTTCTTCTCTCTTTGCCAATTATCCAAAGCCATTGTTGTGCTGTTCAGACTGAGATTGGTTTGTCACAACCTAGGCATGTCTTCATCTCTTCTGTGCTCAGAAATTGGACAACATCTAGGGCAGAAATATAGGGCCCAATGCCTCAAAGGTGAGTGTTATGGAAATGGGATTTTCCCATTTTTAGCCTCCTATGGGCTCTATGCAGTACAATATCACGTGACATGTATATAATAACAACCTAACAAACAATTATCACCAAAAACACCCAATGTTCCTGTTATTGTAAACACCACTGTTACAACATCTGTTACATTAATTGTAACATCTTCTCAATGTCACAGCCCCCTCCTGCACCCGAATGCTATAGAAATGGGCCAATTAGGCCCCATTTTTATAACAGTGAGTCTGGATTTCTTGTTTAAGATCTTCATCTGCAAGAAGGATTGATGATTTCCAGTGTCCATAGACTTGTTACCTCACATAGAAAAATTGCTTGATGATCTTGTTGCTGCCAATCAAACTGATGAGGAGAAAATCAAGAAATCCAATAAGCGGGCTATTATGAATATGCGAATCCGATGCGATCAATATGTTCAAACATATATTGAGTCGGTCCATGATGCAAAAGAAGCCTGGGAAATACTCCAGAACGAATATGAAGATTCCAGGAGTCATTTAAAACTACGCTGAATATATCAGGATCTCTGAGTTGCCAGGGACATGCTCCCGGAATCGGAATTTGCTATGGCTCTTATTACATTGCTTCCATCATCTTGGGACAATTTTATTGCATCAATTGATTTCACAGATCTGGTGGAACTGGATGATAAAAAGAGAAGGGCAGCAGTTAACTCGATTATTTCCAGAATCAGGGGAGAATCCAATCAGTGCAAATCACAGAACAATTCTACCACGCCTTGTCAGGGCCCAGCCTCCATCTGGGGGCGGCCCTACCTCAGAGCTGGACACTTGCGGTGTCCCAGGCAGCCAGGTGCTGGATCCTATCCCAAGCTCCTCAAACTCACTAAGTGGGGATTGAGTTGTCATGTATTACAGAGGGTAACTACAACTTGCCTAAGTGGGGATTGAGTTGAGAAGAAGGGTAAGTTTCCCTATTCCCCACTTGGCTGCTATAAAAGGAAATGTACTGTACAGTTCGTAACATGACTATGGGTAGAAGCCGAGCATGTTCCCGCAATGTGGAAATGGTGTCACATGGGTTAAGGCAAGTTGCTCACCTTGACCCACGTGATTTTTCCCACGGGTTCACATGCGGGCTGTAGTTGTGAGAGGTGTGTAAAGATGGGAGGATCAGGGAAGTGGGGGGAGGTCAGGGAAGGTGGTTCTGGGGTTGTATGGTCAGGTGTGGTTGCCCTGACATGCCTACAGCCTTCAATTCAACCAATTCCAACACAAGAAATCCTAAAACAAAGCCGGATAAATCTAACTCGGAGTGCTGGTACTGTCACAAGAAGGGACATTGGTGTCAGGGGACGACTCCCGGGTCCCCATGACCCTCCCCTATGGCCCACAGCCTCAGGTCTGGCCAGCCCTATCCAGGGCACAATCTACTACTGTGGGTAAGGAGATGAGAAGGAAGCTAACTTCTCATCTTCCCACAGTGGCCACAATATCAGCAAAACTTCCGGGGATACCTGGAAGTCACATAAAGGGGTAGGAACCGGGCCCGGAGCATGTGGTGCATGGAGCGTGCACGCATCCGGGAAGTGTGGCAGGTGGAAGCGGGTCCGGACGTGGGTCCAGGTCTGGGCTAGTCAGGGTGTGTGCCCTGACAATTGGATACAGGAGTGCTGAAAAAAGATTGCAGATGAAAAGCGGAAGGGTGGAGAGAAAAATGCAAATATCGCGTCCAACAATGGAAATGATACGCAATCATTTGCCTTTGCTGGAGCGAATATGCATTTCGGGAATTCTTGGATTGGTGATTCCGGCGTGAATCACCATATAGTTCAGGATCGCAGTTCATTCAATGAATACCATCCCATTTCAGGCCAATTCTTAAATGGAGTTGGAGGAATTAGAACTCCAATCCAAGGCCATGGAACTGTTCTCGTTACCATGCAATTGGACTCAGGATCCCATACAGCCATGCTTAGGGACTGTTACCATATCCCATCAAATGATGGTAACCTATTATCCTTGCGATGTTTTGACTGTGCAGGTGGAACAATTCAAATTAAATCCGACCAAATCAAATTGTTCACACTGGACGGATCAGAATTATGCACAGGACAAGCAAATGGCAATTCATTGTATAAAATGAACATGTCTATTCTAAAGCAGCTGATTGTGATGGCAGGGACTACAGGAGGGGACAAGGAAGGAAGAACATGGGAGGAGTGGCACAGGGCAATGGGGCACATCGCACCCAGCCCCTCAAAACAATGATGGAACAGGGAAATGTTGATGGAATGAAAATAATCCCATCCCCATTAAACTTTGAATGCGAGGCATACATTCAAGGTAAATCCACAGTGCAACTGGTGCCCCAGAAATCCAATACAAAGTACTGGGAAATTGGGGAACTTATTGTTACTGACCTCTGGGGACCAGCACAAGTCATGGGAAAAGGGGGGGGTCAATTATTTTATTTCATTCACGGATGCTGCAACATGTTTCTCCATGGTCGATTTCCTTACAGCCGATTCCAAAAAAATTGGCCAATTTGATTTCATCAAAAGAGATCTAGGGAGATTCATTCTCTGACAGAAATGGCAACTTTGAGCTATTTTTGAGTGCAAGTCGGCTGACCCAATGGTACCATGGAACTCCGTAAAAATAAAATAAAATAAAATAAATGCGTGTGAGCATATTGTCTCCCCCCTCGATCTAGTCAGCATGGGGAAACATCTTGAGCGCACTGCAAAAGACATTCTGGTCTTCATGTCCTCGAAAATAAGTCTGCAGGAGATCACTCAAGTCTCAGGAGTACCTGTATGCACTGTCTATCGACTGCTTGCTGCTCCTTACCAGTACCACATACACCGGGATGAGACCTGAGGACGATGCTGAGTACTCAGTGTTCATGCAGTGAATGTGACTTCACGACTACGCGTTTCTTCATGGGACATCTTTGGCTCATGATTCTCAGTTTCTCGATAGCCTTGTTGAGCAGAAACCTGATCTATACCTTGACGAATTGCAAGTAGCCCTCATAAAGGAACTCGAAATTGTGACAAGTGTCCAAACAATTCGAAGGGAGTTGCACAGGTGTGGTCTCACTAGGAAGAAGGTTTATTGACCCCCTCTCACTACCTTCCGAAACTGACACTCTGACATTTACTAGCTCCAGAAGCCAGCAGCTGAGCGTAATGATCAACTGCGAGCTGATTTCAGGATGTACATGGGCACAACTTACTGCCCGGACCAACTTGTCTTTGTAGACGAGACAGGGGTGAACTGCAACACATCCTCACGCAAATATGGCTGGGCACCATGTGGGGAAAGGGCTTGCCGACGTGATTTCTTTGTTTGTGGCACTAAGTTTGTACTGGGTTCATATCTGGCAACTTCAATGCTAAGATCTTATTCCTTAGATACTCTGTCCTCCCCGCCATGTCTGTAAATGGAATCATTCATGCGGATATACAGAAGGGCGCATATACTGCCGAATCATTCAATGACTTTATTGGCTCACTTCTTGTCCACATGAACCCATATCCTCAGCCCCAGTCCGTGCTTGTGATGGACAATGCCTCCATTCACAAGTCCGACACCCTTTTGGAGATGTGTGATGAATGGTGTGCACAGTTCCCAACCCGGGCAGACTTGACCACACTAACAATACTGCAGAGGTGTTAGGCTTGAGTTCCTTCCTCCCTATTCCCCTGATCTCAACCCAATAGAGGAGGCAATCTCATCAATCAAGCAATGGCTGAGAAGGAATCGCAACCATGTTGAAAATGAGTTTCCCTCTGAATCTCACCACCGAGCGACAGAATTATTGCTAAGGGCTGTGTTCTCAGTGACAAGTGATCAAGCACACGGATGGTTCAGGCATTCTGGCTACTTGTAAAGTGTTGATAATAAAATGTTTTTTTTTGGATTTATTAAATATTTTGTTTATCAACATCAACGACTTTTTGTTCAACATGCAAGGGCTAAGAGTATGGAGGGACTCATATATCAAAACAGGTCCCAATCCAGCTCATCATTGGGCTTTTCATCCTGACTAACTTCACACAATTCCTCGTCAAATCCCGAGTCTGAGTCCAAATCGATATGCATCACTGGTGGAAGTTGCAGAGTAGCATGTGTGTTCGGAGAGCTTGTATCCAAGGATATTTCAATAACGGAAATGGATGTGGGTGAGTCCGGAATGCCGAGCTTGCCACTGTGTTGCACGCGAGAGTGGGATGCAGTGAGACCCTGATTTTGGCTCGTTGAGGTTTGGGGAATGGTAGTGCACTGTGATGTTGAGGCTCGCCTGATGGGGCTGGGTGAGAGCTCTACAATGCGTGGACCAGTCTTCTCTGGAGTTGCTGGAACAAGCACCACTGGTGCTTTCTGTAAACGAGCGGAGGGACGGACCTGAATGTGACTTGGAGGTTGATTGGCCCTTTGCACATTCCCTGAGAGCCCTCGTTTATCATGCATAGTGTCCACAGAAACTTTCCTGCGCTTCATCAGCATTGGGGAGGGAGATGGTGGGGTGGCCGAACGTGAGCGCTTCCGGGAGTGGTGACCATTTTGTTGAGGTTTGAGAGGTGAGGCACTGAAAAGACGATTGTTGGGTGGCTGAGTGAAGGAAACACCCTTGACACCATCAGCCTATGAGATTCTTTAGTCCCAGTAGGAGGAAGTATGAGTGCAAATGAACATACCATTGCGCTCACCCAGATTGCAAGTGCTTCGTTGCTGACATGCAAATGATGATACTCTGCATCTGGGTGGTGGTAGCAATGCCGTGTGCACTTGCTACACCAGAGTTTCCTGCAAAGCTCCTCATATATTGCTCGGCGAACAGAGGATGGTGGGTCATTTGATGCTGTGGCTGTGCGGCGCTTCTTGGTCGATGTGCCTCCAGGTCGAGGTTCCTTTCTGACTGCATCCTTGACCCGCATACTGTAAGAATAGCTTACTGGCATATATATGCATGATGAGACACAAACCTTATTAATAATATGCAATTTTTTTGACTTGTATGCTCAGGACTGAATCTCGCATTGAGCATTGATTGCATTGGCAAAATCTTCCGTGCTATTGATGCGGGTCCAAATGGATTCCTTCTCATCAGACAGGCGATATCCGATCTGGTGGGCAGAGAGGTCCACCGCCATCCTGGTTAAAATTTCGTCGAGCACTTCTTGTGGTGGTTGAGACTTCGAGTCGACGAGGTATACAGTTTCATCTTCCTTCTTCGGATCCATAGTGTTCAATGCAAACTGGTACTTGAAATCTAAACAATATTGTAGGGGTGTCCAAGGAAAGATAGTGGTTGGTTTTTGTCAGGGCACATACCCTGACTTAGCCTGGACCCGGACCCGCGTCCGGACCCGCTCCACTTCCCACGCACTTCCTGCGCCGCACGCTCTGTGCGCCGCATGATCCGACCCCGGATCCCACCTCATGTGACTTCCGGGTATCCCCGGAAGTTTTCGCCATATTGGGGCCACTGTGGGAAAGTGAGAAGTTAACCTTCTTCTCACTTTCTTACCCACAGTAGGCAAGTGTATCTACTTGCCCCTTTGTTTATATCACTTTCTTACCCACAGTAGTTATGCCCTGAGATGGGCTGTGTTTACAGGCTAGACTGTGGACTGTAGAGAGGGGTCATGGGGACCCGGGGTCCGTCCCCTGACAGTTTTTCCCTCTGTTTTCCCTTTGTCTTATCACGTGGCTCCTAGGTACGACGACTGGGATAGCTCCATCATGGATGCCTGAGGTTGGGAAATGGGGAGCGGGACTGTGCTGACATATGTGGGTGTGGGGTTGAAGACTGCGACAGGACCCCATTGACCAGGAAAGAGGGGAACATCAGTCCGGGCTTGCAGTGTTTGGGTGGGCAGAGGTGCAGAGGGCACACCATCGTCAAGTCCCTTGCCGTTTGACATGGTGAGCTGGATGATAGGAACAGGTGTGCAATGTGTTGGCCTCTATCTCTGCTGTGTCCTATATACAATGTCATGTAGTCAGCATCGTGCCATCATGTGGCCACAACGTACCATGCAGTCACATTGTGCCACCGTGTGGCCACACCGTACCATTGCACAGTCACCCACACTCAAAATGCGCCATGTCAAGAAATGCCATGTCAAGAAAGGCCACATCACCAAAACAAAGACCCCAGCGCTAAGTGGATCCATCCAAGTAAGGAAACCCCTTTCGTGGGTGTGATCTGCCCAACTTCTTTAGGAAGGGAGAACCCTGCCTGATCTCTTTCGATGAAATCAAATCGGCCGATTTTTTTGGAATCAGCTGTAAGGAGAAATCCAAAGCATTTGAGGCATACAAACAATTTGAATCCCGATTATGGACTCAATACAGTCGCAAAATCAAATGCATTCAATTCAACAGTGGCATGTAATTCCTGAACAATAGATTCATTACTCATTTATGCAACCAAGGAACACTCCATCAAACCACTGCTCCACATTCCTCTTCCCAAAATGGCATTGCAGAGTGGTTAAACTGCACATTATTGGATCATGCTTGCGCAATGTTGTTTGACTCTAAATTGCCAAAAACATTGTGGACCTATTCAATCGCTTATGCATGCTATTTAAAAAATTGCTCTCCCACATGCGCACTCGATGGAAAAACTCCCTATGAGATGTTTTTCAATGCGAGGCCAAATAACATATTTGGGTCAGATGTTCGGGCACCGGACCAAGACCAAAAGGGGAAACTGGACCCATGTTTCAACAAGTATTGGTTTATTGGATTGACCGATAATACACACACAATTTACTACTACAAGCCGGAAAGTGGAGTAATTGAAAAATCAAAGAATGTTATTTTTCCCCATCCCCATAACCCCCACCCCAATGTTGAAATTCCTGCTTCCAGTCCACCTGAGGGGGAGCCTCAGTCAAATGATTTGCAGTCGGACATGGAAAACCAGGAGAAAGAAGCAGAACAGGTGCCCGGCAATTCAAAAGAAGCGGAAGCAACGGAAGCCAATTCATCGCATAGCCAAAATGAATACATGGGAATCCGAACAAGAAGCCAATTGAAACGAATTCAATCCCCATTAGTCCAGATTAGGATGGATCATGGACCAGTCAGAACCGAAAATCAAAATTCCCTTGCACATGCAATGGCTGCAACAGAATCCGATAGCCCGGATATCCGTGAGGCATTACAATGCTATGATGCTGAGGATTGGCGCTCGGCAATGGATGCCGAAGTGGCCCAACTTCAAAAGTTGAACACCTTTGAATTGGTCCCTCTGCCAGCAGATTGTAGAATTATCGGTTGCTGATGGGTCCTAACTACAAAAAGAAATACAGAAGGGGAAATAATGAAATACAAGGCCCAGCTCGTCGTGCAGGGATTTTGTCAAATTCCAGGAATGGATTTTGATGAAACCTTCTCGCCAGTAATGCAACTAGAGTCATTCAGGGTTTTATTGGCTATCACAATTCAATTGGACCTCAAAATACATCAAATGGATGTTGTTGGGGCATATTTGAATGGAGAATTGGAGGAGGAAATATACATGAAGCAAATCCCGAAGTATGAGGACAGCCTGAACAGGGTCCTTCACCTAAACAAGACTCTGTATGGCCTTAAACAGGCAGGGCAGGTGTGGAACTGATGACTACATAAGGCATTAACCAAATTAAGTTACATGCGCTTATTCACTGACACCTGCATTTATGGGTGTTGCCAAAATGGGAAAATATCAATTATCACCTTCCACGTTGACGACTCTGCCATATTTGCCCCTGCAGATCATATTCAATTCATTAAAAATGAACTCAAGTCAAAATTCGACACCTGCGATCTTGGAGAATTGAATCACTTTGTTGGGATTAAAATTTCCCAAGACCGAAGCAACAATTCAATCATGATCTTGCAAGAACAATACATTTGCGACATAATTGAACGTGCCGGAATGATTGATTCCAATCCAGTGCCTACCCCAATGCACCCGAAACAGGCCTATGAAAAGTTCTCAGGCCCATGCCCAGATTACCCCTATTCAACAATGATTGGATCGCTTATGTGGGCCGCATTATGCACGCACCCAGATATTGCCTTTACTGTTCATCACTTTGCACAATTCAATAATTCTTATGGTCTGGAACATATTTCTGGAGTCAAACGGATTTTTCGATACCTAAAGGGGACAATCAATCACGGAATTACCTATTCAAAATCGGATTCTGGATTAACAGCAATTGGGTATGCAGATGCAGATTGGGCAGAACAAAAGGACTGGAAATCTATTTCTGGTAACCTATTCATCATGTCAGGGGGAGCTGTTGCCTGGAGCACTAAGAAGCAAGGGACTATCGCCCTATCGACTATGGAAGCCGAGTATGTTTCCTTAAGTCACACATCACACCATATACTATGGCACCAAATGCTCATCTGGGAACTCGGATTCAATGCGGAGCGCCCATTCAATCTCAACAACAATAATTGTGGGACTATTGCATTAACTCATGACCCCCAATTTCATGGCCAGAGCAAACATATTGATATATGGCATCACTTTATTCAGGAATTAATTGAATATGGTGATCTCAGAATTCATCATGTCTGCTCATCCAACAACTTGGCTGACATTTTCACAAAGCCACTTCCCAAAGATCTATTCACTAAGTTTGCATCTGTTATTGTACAGGATACATGACTTGAGGGGGAGTGTTGAAGTCACGAGTCACCGGAACCTTCCGGGGGATTCTGGATTGTTGTGGGAAATTGCCAGAATATTCCTGCTTAGTCTGTGCTTGTGTATGCGCGCTTGCACAGTTACTTATTTTACATATAATATCATTGTAATACATTTCGTGTATGTATAAATACACACAGATGTGCATTGAGCAAAATTATCAGAAAAGTTTCTAGCTTACCTCTGGTCTCGCAAGTATAACCGCTGAAGTAAGTGGATTGCCTTATCAGGAATCCCTACATTACAACAGTAGACACTCTTGTGACAAGCATTGATGTTGGAGATCTGTGTGCTATGTCCAGCGGAGTTGGCCTGGACAGCCACATTCCTGTGTTAGCATGGGAACATTCTGGGAGAGCAACTCGCCCAGAATTCACCATGTGACTTCTTAGTCACAACACCTTTTCTCTTTTATATTATTTTGGACTAATCTGTGCCGGCCACGGATATATTCATTCTTTTGAATTCTTTTCCTTTTCCCTCAGTTCTTCACGCATATTGGCTGAGACTGAGGTTAGTTACTGTTTTATCATTGTAACTTATATTATGTATATGTCAGGGCACAGCCCCTGACCCCACACACCCTCAGGTACCCTTCCCCCATTTTCTCCTATTTTTCCCTTCACTGTTTCACAATCCCGCATGCATGCAGACCCGTGGGAACGTTCTGGGCAAGTAACTCGCCCAGAATCTTCCCATGGGGGGGTGCCAATTATGGAAAGTCAGCAAAGAGCCAAAAACTGTATAGTTCCCGACTCCCATTTGTAGCGGCTTCACAGGAGGTTGAGAAGGTTACCCTTCTTCTCAACTCATTTCCTGTGAAGGCTGGGGCTAGCCCCCTCAGTGAGTTTGAAGATCTCAGACTGGGACTAGATACCCCAGCGACCAGGAGGATCCCCCTGGGTCTGTCGCAGAACGAGGGCCGGGCCCTGACAGTATATTACCTCTAGTATTTACTCATTGGTAATATATTCAGTTCTTCACGCATATTGGCTAAGACTGAGTATTTACTCATAGTCCAGCTCCGAGATCAATTGTCGCTCATCAACAATTGAGCCTGGAGTGTTGCTCACATTCAAGAAAGTGACCACATACAATCCGATCTCAGAGTTTGAGTTGGAATTTGCAGTTATGCATGATGCAAATGGACATTTGATGCCAGATGATTGCTATCATCCATCATATGAACCAAAAGAGAGCAGCGCCTCAGTGCCTGATCATGGCCAGAGCCCTGCATATCGCAGAATAAGTGCCCAGTTAGTGAAGATGGCGAAATTCTATCTGTTTGATCCTGGAATTGTTGAAATAACCACCTCAGCCTAACAGGGCGTATCGTGTAATGGCTGTGCACACTGAGTTCACAATCCAGAAGACTGGAGTTCGATTCCCAGTATGTCCAACTTTTAGGTTTCCCTAAAAGACCATGTGCAAATTCCAACAGGAATCGAGCTCAACATGACCAGAGCCATTCCAGAAGTGCAGGGAGATTCCCAGCGCTTCATTCCATGTGAATACAAGATCATGCCAGCCAGAGTTCTGCACAACTTGAACCTGAGTTCAGTGGGGACTTTGAGATTGAGCCTCAGGATTGCACACTGATGGGAAAACACGATCACACGCATCCCAGTCCAGTCCAGAGAAGTGTAGTGGTAGTCCAAGTAGTTGACCCAGCTGTTGCAGCCGTCAATTTTGAATACCCAAGAAATCCAGCTAGCACAAAGCTTGGATTGAGTCCAGATTGTGCAGCACAGACGTGCCATGAGTTCAGAGCCAAGCCAGACGAAAGCCTTAGAGCCTCAGACTCTTTTAGTTCGCACATAAACACCAGACTGGTTAAGAATGAAGTGATAGTTTCAAGTGCAGAGACCAAGCACGAAGAGAATGATGGTGCTGAGCACACCACAGCCATACTGCAAGTTGTACATGAGGATGCGACTAAAGACAACACTGTGTACCTTAGTGAAGTCTCACAGATCGCTGACCCAGTGGAGTATTTCACTTGGGATTCTGGATATGAATCCGATGACACTGCAGTTGACAGTGAAATGCCTGAATACACCGGACTCACTATCTCACACGAAGCCATTCCTGCCATTGTGCCACATGAAAAACGAGTCAATTATTTGATTTATCACTATGCTGCCATACATCAAGGTTACATGATGACGAAAAATCCCACTGTTGAACTTTGTGCTGATTCCATGGAAGCGCTTGAGTGCGCTGGTACTCCATGCCCACCCGATTTCTTTGATGATGGATACGAATGTCCACCTGAGAAAGACCCAGACAAGGTCTTAAGCATGAACCAGAATGCGGGCAATGAGCTGGCCCGAGCTGAGGAAATTTGTATCCAGTGCGACTACTGGACTTATCCGGAGCTCCAAATTCTTATGATGTAAACCAGCATGACTGGACAAATGACATAAAATGGACAAGCCTGGTATCGAACCCAGGACTTCTAGTGTGCATCCATACACTACTCGCCCATTATGCCAGGGGGGGGGTACCCCTTCCCTGATGGTTTGGGAGATCACTTGATCCCTTCCTCCAACACGAGCATGTGAGTCTGAGTTGACTCAAGTGGCCAATTGCATGTTAGTCACCGAGTTCCAGGTTGACATTTGCAAACCAGAGACATCAGAGCACTCTCTCATCATTCAAGAACACATTGTAGTCATCGGAGAGTCCACACCAGACATGACAAGCAAGTTTGGTGGCAAGCTGGAGTGTGAATTCTCGATATTTTACTTCCCAGACAGGCTGCCCGATTAAGGTGCCAAGGGGAAGGGGCGAGGCCCAAGGCATATTATCATACATGTTTCTATACTCAAGTTCCACATGATTCTAAGCTCCCAGATAACACCAACATTGTTCACCAATGCCCGGATTTGCGACTGAACAATCCAAATTCTTCTGAATTGTGACAGTGGTAGACCATATCACATGAGCCTGTTATGCTGCAAGTGATCCCCTATAGAGCGTCTGGGGCCATGCCAATTGAACTCCTAACTCCTGGCTGGTTGTCCCCATGAGAGGCCCCTTTCGGGTAGTGAATAGAAGACTTAGTCATATGATATGAACCTTTTCTATACTCAATGTAATTGGTAGTGGAGAAGCCGGTGATTAACTAATCATGTAGCCAACCCTGGGAATTGTTGGCCAGACGCATAAACACGTGCCTCTTGATTCTTTGGGGAATTGCAACCACCCGGCAGGAGAGTTGAACCAACATCCTCTCAATCGGCAAACGCCAGCAAGAGATTGGTTGGCAGGTGTTACCACTATACCACCACTCCTCCCTGGTGGCAAGCTGGACAAAGCATGAGTCAGAACAGTAGCGCAAGAGTGCACTGAGCTTAAATCAAAAGAGCTAAGGCCTCCCAGCCTCAGTGACGAGCTCTATTGGTCTCATATGACACCGATCTCAGTACCAGAAGAGATCCCAGACGGTTTTGGCCAAGTTCCAGCAATGGGAGTTGAGGAGATGATGCAAGAGCGCACTGCTAAAAGAGCTAAGGCCTCCAGCCCCAGCACTCCTCTTGATGACGATTCCATGAAAAGCTTTGAGCTAGACGTTTCCAAGAGTCGTTGCATGCCAGCAACCGAGTTTAGTGCCCCAGAATTTGGAGGCAGAGTCCAATGTCCCAGACTCAACTTTTGCGAACTGGGCTATGCATACCTCCACACCACTTCATATGTGTAATGCACAGCTGTTAGCCAAATAGAGGCCCCAAGTAGTGCCTAGTCACATATATGACACGATTGTTGTCGATCTGTCCCCAGAGAAAAGTATTGCGATGTCAGAATCACTACAAGTGATTGCTTCCTTGCGGTGAGCAGCATCCAAGCCACCAAGGATATGAGGACACATGTTGCCCCAGTGAATCCCAGCGACATAGATGATGGCCACTACGATGGGAATGCAAGCCCTCATTGCTCAACCAAAGTTCTAGTGTTGACAAACTTGCTGAAGTGCGAAGTGTTGAGTCTGCTAGCATTCTTGATGCAGTTGAGATCTCCAGTGTAGTTCCATGCGCAGACAAAAGCAGAAGCCTCCTGAAATGGCTGGAGTGATTTCATACGATGCAATGCATAGCAGTAGCAAAGTGAAGTCTGAGTCCAGGACTGAATATACCCATTGACAATACCTCTGTGCACAATGAGGATATGTCATAAGCATACTATTTATGCACACAACATTTATTTTGGTTGGAGTCCCCAGGACCTGTGGATTGCATACGATGGACATGTTTAGATTTGAGGGTATCGTGAGGGACCATGATAAAGAGCTAGGCCTGATGTAGGCAGGCACAGCCAGTACTGCCCAAACAAACCGAATATCGCGATTTCCCCATCCCAGCACATCCCCACTTCACGAAACACATCACACACGTCCTCATATACCATTTCTACCCTTCCACGATTTTTTCCTATTTTTTCAGTCACATTCCTAGTCCCCACAGACCAAATTCCCATGCCCACCCAGCAGCGTGGCCACACTCACACTGAATTTCACTTATCTCAGCAACCACTGTACTGATTTGGATGGTATTGGTACCGTTGAAAACGCGTCATTTAGGAGTATTAGGATCCATGATTAGCGGGAGTTCATTGGCGATGGATAGAGTTGGGTATTTTTTGGCTGGAAATCATTTATTGCTTTATTGTTTTCTTGATTATTGTTTTCCCTTCCGTTTTCCGATATTGTTTGTTGCCCATATGATCCACCTGAGTACATGGGACTCATCGGATATTTTCCTTCATTTTTATTTGATCATTTCTCATATATACCTGTACATGAGGATGTATCTATGTACCTTTTCCTTTGGATTAGAAACCACCGAGTTTGCCCCTCCCAAGCTAGTAGGGAGTATTACGACAAAGAACATCAGTAAGAAGACCTCTAGATCAGTCCTTGCCTTAGTGTCACCCAGAGAGGTGGGGTGAGAGGTTGATTAGAGTGCTTGGAGGGGAATATGGGATTTGGGGGCTCCAAGGTTGGTAAGAGCAGATTGGTGATGTCTGGAGGTGACAGAATGTGGTGGCAGAGGATGGAATCCATACCAACTCTGCCCAACCTCCAACCTACTCTGCCACTGTTCTGGTTCACCTCTGGTTTGTCCTCTCCCTCACCTCCACCATATCCTCTGGCATACATCCAGTTCACCTCTGGTACCTTCTCCAGTAGCCCATATCCTCATCATAGAAGTTTATTAATACTTCTATCTATCCAACATTACTACGGACCTCCTAGGACCTCTGCCAACCCTGCAAAGGTTTTCCCATTATCCAATAGCTGTCACTAATCCCACCCTTCATTTACCCACTCCACATGCTTGATAAGGTGATTCTCTCATGAGCTCACCAACCCAGCAAGTGGGTAAGTCCATCTTGGGTTTTCCCTTTCTTCTTACATTTCTCCTGTATTATGTATATAAGTACTGTAGTTGATGGCACTTCAGTGCAAAATCAATGACTAGATCCCCCCAGAGTTTGTGCCCCCTCATTCTGAAGTTAAGGACCCAACACTAGTGTTACCAAACATTGGCACAGTGCTCCTCTCCAAGTTGCTGAGGCCATGGTCCCTCCACTTGTCCTCTACCTCCAGCCTCCCTTCCAGGGAAAGGTCCAGACATGCTCATTCCCTCCTTGACATGTTCTGACAGGGTTGTCTCAAGTTTGTGCTTCCAGATGAACTTGGGGCTCACAAAGTTCCCAGTGACTCCTGAGTCCAGGAGTGCTGACATGGACACTGAGGTGAAGGAGGTCAGGGAGGTCAACTTCACAGTGAGGTTGAGAGATCAGGGGATTGCTTGGAGAGGACATATATAGCAGGCAGGGTTACTGCCACTTCTGGCACTGCCTCCTGGATCCTCTCATTCTCATGGGCTGAGGATGTGCTTTTTCCCCTCTTCTTTGCAATAATTCAATGGAATTTTGGGCACTGATGCACATTGCAGTACTTACATGAACTATCTTCTCCAGGTGGCTAGGATGCATCCTTCACTGGCCACCTTCCTGAAAATCCTCCTGGGGGCTTGGCCCTGGCTCCCCCTCTTCCACCTTCTCTGTTAATTGTCCCTTAAGCCCTTCCATCAATGCTCAAAGGTCCTCTGGGTGCAGGCATCAGACTCAGGGTGTGGGCTGTCTCATGTGACATGCCCTAGGGCATTACAGTTGTAACATAGCCTGCTCCATCTCTGGTTAGTGTTAGAACCGGGTGGATTCAGACGACTCTGGAGTGGAATCGGAGACTTAGTGTGGAAGGACCTCGGCCTCAGCGACTCAGGCGGAGCGCTGTGCCATTGCTGGTTGTCCTGGGGGTCCCTAATTTTGGATCTAGCAGAGGGAAAGTCTCTTGGGGGGAATTCAGGTCGATTTCGGACTGAGGTTACAAGTTACTATGTACATTGTATATAAGGAGGGGTCCGGAATCAAAAGGAGCGAGTGTTATGGAAATGGGAATTTCCATTTTAGACTCTTATGGGTTCTGTATCATGTGATTTATATAGTAATATAGTTTAACCAATCAATAATCAACGAAAAACCCGCTGCCACACTCCCTGTTAAACTACATGTTAAACCAGCTGTGAAACCATCTGTAAACCCTAATGAACCACCTCACCTCCACTTTCCACTTTCCTGCGTCAAGAACGGACGAAAATGGGCGCCTCCGGCCCCATTTTTGTAACAGCGAGGGTAGGACAAAAGGAGACAAAGGGAGATGGAAAGAGGAACAACACTGAGGGTCAGGGGTTTGACTCAATGGTGTTTCTCAAAGGAGGAATGAAGGGCCAAGGCCCAAGGAGGAAGGAAGGAGGTTGGGAGTGGGGAATGGCTAGCTGACTGAATAGAAAGGAAGCAGCAGCCCAAATAGGAATGAGGGAGAATAGCGGAATTGAATAGGACAATGCAATAGTTGCAAGGTCCGAGGTAAGTCCAGAAAGTCCGAACTCGGAAGTTAAACTCCAGAATATTGGCAAATGTAATTAAATGGAATGAGCCAACCAATACAATGGGTATAAGCAGAGGTGGGGTCAAAGTCCAAGGTCGGAGCTAAGACCAGAGGTTCCGGAGATGGAGACATGAACGGGATTCCGGAGCGGAGGCCCAGAGTCGGGAGCATAGGTGTTGCGTATTTGTCTGGAAGGTGTCGAGGTTGGGGTCGGACCCGGAATGTTCCAGAGTCGGACCGAAGGTGGTGTCAGAGCTGGAGGTGGGATAACCTTTTGGGAGTTGGCAAGGAGGAGGTGATGGAAGGGAAGTAGGACTCCAGAAGACAGGTTCGGAGTTCCGGGAGCCCGGAGTGGAGGTCAGGATTGTATGGATATGACAGTCAGTCCTCAAATGGTCAAGGTGAGGAAATTTGTATCTGGTGCAACTACTGGACTTATCTGGAGCTCCAAATTCTTATGACATAAACCAGCATGACTGGACAAATGACATAAAATGGACAAGCCTGGTATCGAACCCAGGACTTCTAGCGTGCATCCATACACTACTCGCCCATTATGCCAGGGGGGGTACCCCTTCCCTGATGGTTTGATCACTTGATCCCTTCCTCCAACACAAGGTCCATGGGTTGCAGGCCTGTCCCCACTGCAGGGAGTGGTGAAGGGGTTGGGGGTGCAGGTACCAGCCCAGGTGCAGGTCATGGTGGTGCAGCCACAGGGCACATAGGGAGGGGTTGTGGCTGGTGGGGGTCATGTTGATAGGGGAAAGGGTCTGGGTGCAGGCATGGCTGCATCACCTGAAAGCTTTGCCACTGGTTGTCAAGAAGGATGGCTTCGCATTTCCATTCAGCCCAGGTGGTGGGCATGGGGTGAAGGTGGTAAATGCTCTCATGGAGCTGGGCATTGATTTCCTGCTCAAAGTGGTTGACCAGATCCACATTGCCTAGCTGCAAGGTGGGTCCCAGTATCTCAAACTCTCAGAGAGCATGGGGACAGGTGTGGATGTGGGTGTGGCCCAGATCAGGACTTGGCTCTTGACAATGGCCTGCAGTTCCTGGAACTGGGCCAACAGGTCATCATATTGCTCTTCTGTCATATCCTGGATCTTCTACCTCCCTCCACCCTATTCCTATACAACTCCTATGACCTCTACCAGCCCTCCCAATCTCCCTCTGCTGCCTCTGGTCAATGCCAATGATCCGAGGATTACCTCCTCTTTCGACTTTCTCCTGCTCTGCCTCCCATCTATGTCTGCATCACCTCCAGACCTCCCCTACCAGACCTCCACCTCCTTGGACCTCTTATCTGCTTGTTGTTAAACCTCAACTGCCTATCCACCCTCCTTCTTACTTCCAGTCTCCACACCTCCAGTACCTCCCTACTCCTACCTTACCTCCAGTCATATTGTTTTATCATTTGATATTTCCTACAACCCCAATCTTCCAGACTACAACTTCTGGGCTCTGGACCTTTCCAGACATCTTCCCCTGTAGTCCCCTGCTCATTCATAGACAGGCCCAGG